CATAGTAAAACGCGAATTGAACAACATGCGTAGAATACTTGAGCAAATGCAAAAGTTAAAGGCTTGCATGGATACTCAAACAAAAGTAAGACTCAAACGGCACTTGAACAAAAAGAAGAAAATATGTCTTTATTTACAAGAACGGTCCAAAACGTTACAAGAGCAAAATAGGAAAAGAAAAAGCTAAACTGTAGCGCCTCCGGAATCAGGAGGAAGAGAAGTATCCGCATTGCTGGGAAGAGTAGGTGGTTCCGTCGATGGCTCAACACTTTCCCTAGTTTGGTCTTCGGCCTCATTGCCTTCCGATCCATCCTCAGTTTCCGAAAACTCGAAACCGAAATCAGAAGAACCTGGATCATCAGACTGCGCCGGGAGTCCATTTTTTGCAGCCAACTCAAGCTCTCGGGCCTTAGCAATTTCGGCATCAACATCAATGATACCAACTTTGGCCTCTTCTAATATTTTCCTCCTCATGCTATACATGGAATAAGTTTTTTTAACAATGAGGGAAGCCTCTCGGCGATTAAGTTCTTTTTTCAGTTGAATAACCTCGGCAGAAAGGTTTTCCCGAGCGGATCTGGTAGATTTGAGGCTGACGTCAAGCTCGCGGACAGTTGAACTAAAGAGCCTATTATGATCGATAGTTTTCCTGTACTTCGCTTCTAGCTAGGCATGTTTCGCCTCCACAGATCAAGGCTGCCTCCAAGTTAATCACTCTTTCAGCAGAGGCAGCCTCATGGTCAGTTGCAGCAAGAACGACGTTTTGGACTTCTGCCCATTTGGCCTTGGCCTCATCAAAATTAACCCTCAGCGGCCCAATTTCTTGGCTGAGGGTTACCACTTCTTGCTCACTTTGCTACAAACGAGCCTCCAAAATAGCGACCTCAGTAGCTCTGGTTTCCAATTCTGAGAGGCGGAGAGTAGTGTGGTCCCGTTCCGCCAAAAGTTGATCCCGTTCAGAAGTAAGTTCTTCCTTCTCACGAATCAACCTTTGAAGGCCCTCAGAGGTAAGAAAGTTGGCCTATAAAATAAGAAGAGGAAAAACCTAGAATACATTTGTTCAAAAGTAAAAGAAATAACAGAGGAAAGAATGAACGTACCGTCGCGGCATTATGCATAGCATTGTTCAACAAACACTCGCCCGAGAGTGTCTGAATCTTTTCCCAATCTATTTCTGAAGCAAACGTCTTCAGGTAATTAGCAAGCTCCACCAGCCATGATAGCAGGTTGCACCCGGTAGAGACCGAAAGAGTAATGTTCCTCCTCCTTTGTGGATCTTCAGAAGGAGCAACATAATTTTGCCCCAAGTTCCCATGAACTGGGGACTGTGGAAGAGGAACACCTTCTTCATGGTCAGGTGCGGCCGATGAAGATGGTGTAGTAACCGCTGGTGGAAGAGTAGACGAGGACGGAAATGATGTAGTAGTTGCTGGTGTTGGTGAAGGTGGAGATGAAGTTGATGAAGTTGAAGAGTGAGAAGCAGCTGCATCAAATGCAGTGCTGGTTGTTTGATGCTCGCCAACCAAAGACGACAATGACCTGGTACTCAGCCCCGCAACATCGGTTGCAGCAATTGGGCCCCGAAAATGGGAGTTGGCATATTGTACCAAATCAGACTCTCCCCAAAGTGTCGAGATATCGTCTTCAGTTGGTGTAACTATATCAACAGGTCGAGCATCCTGTTGAGATGATGGGGATCGTCGCCTTCTGTGTAAAGAAGCTCCCTCATCAACAACTTTTTCTTCATCATCAATCATCACGGTGTCTACAACCAGCCCAAAAGGAGGACCAACCATCATCGTCACCAGAGATGATTCGGGGGCATCAACCTTTGCCAGTTTATTCTTTTCCCTGGCCGCAGAGAAGCGTATTCTCTTTGTTTATATATCCTTCGGCCGGGGACTCCATAAAGAAATATTTGCACCCGAAACAGGCCCGGAGATACCTGTTCGAGTAAGTGCTTCCTGAAGTAGCCTCGCTGCATCAGCAGGATCGGCCAGAACGTCCTCCTCGGGGACAACAACAGAGCCCGAAGGTAGACCTAATTCCATGAACAAAGTTAGAAGGGGTCAACCAAGTTCTTCATATACAAAAATGGAAGCAAGGTAAATTAGAGTTACCATGATTTTTGGCCTTCCACCTGTATTTAAGAGCTAGTTCTTTCCACGAATGAGTTTCGGGCATTGTGACGTCCAAAATCTTCTGAACCCACTCGTTCAAACCTTCCACCACCGGTGGGAGCCATCGAGTTGCTGAAATATACGAAAGGTGAAGAGATGATATGGCCATAGAAGAATATCTAGTAAGAGGAATATTATACAAAGAACTTACGAGTGCGGTTCCAAGCAACCATAAAGGATGAAGTCGTTGTCGGAATGATGTCAACGAACCGCTCCATCCACCCACGGTCGTTGTCATCATCCATGATGGACAACAAAGCATGGTGGCCACGCATGCAAAGGTTTATCATCCCCCTCGCGGAAGATTTTGGGGGAATAGAGATTCATCACATGAGCTAAGGTTAGCTCCTCTCCAGTTTCTTGGCACAAGCGTCAGAGGCAGGCAATCGTCCTCCATACCGGAGGACTTACCTATGCCAAATTCACCTGATAGCGAAGGCAAAACTCCGTAAATACGGAATCAAGCTCTCCGCTCAAAGAAAACACACCCAAAGTAAAGATATACATGAAAAAGTATGTAAAACCTTCCTTGGGAAGGGTCACTCACTTCGATAGATCAGGAGCAATGATTTTCAACTCATTGCAGCGGCAGTCCTCCTTCACATCAGGGATACTGGAAGGATGAATGGAAGAAGGGTACCTACTAACAGCCCATATACGAGGGTTAGCAGTAGAGAATTTCTCTTCAAAATCCTTCGAAGTACTAAGCCTCCTTGGGATGATGGAATCCAATGTTGGAGGAATGGAGTCCTCAGTTTTGTTCTTATTCTTTGAAGAACAACCACGTTTGGAAGAAGAAGCCATTTAAAAAGAAGAAGGTAAAGATTTTGTGTTTGAAGAAAATTAGGAAAAAGATGAAAAACAAGGATGCAAGTCAAAAACTCAAGCAATTGTGAAGCGTAAAGGAAAAGAAAGTTGCGTATAAGTAATATTCTGGCGGCTAAATTCATGGCCATGATTACCTCGATAATCGCTTTTTTGGTGCATTAAATACGGAGAGACGTGCGTCTAATCAAGTATCAGAGACCTTCAGAGAGAGTTATAGTAATTTCCGCCAAAAAGGTGTTTCTACCAACTTCCCGGTAACACAAAGTGATGTCACCGGAAAAGCAGGGGGACTATCTGTATAGGGTAAAATATGATATGATACGTGGCTGACTAAAAGGAGGACACGTGGAATCCAAGATGGGATGGTTGAGGACCGAGCGCAACCACTACGCTTGTCACCGGAACGGATAACGTTCATAAAAGTGTATTAAAAGTTCTGCGTCTGGTAGCATTTACTAAGGAATATTCTACAACATTAAGAGCGACGATCCGTTACAGAGAATTTGACATTTATGCTCAACGTTACATCTCAATCAATGACCCTCATAATTGGCATTAAAGGAGGGCATGATCGTAGGACCTTTTTCCCTAGGCATAACTATAAATAGTGAGCCCAGTTACCATTGTAAAGGACACGAAATTTCTGGCAAGAACATATATTATATTCTATACAAAACTTTATACAATTTCACTCTCTGGCTTTTTGATCCCATCATTACTGTGTTCGAAAATCGTGTTCACGGAATCACTATCTTTACTATTTCATCTACATTCCAAGGCTAAGTAGTGCGTATTTCTTCGATTATTATATTATTTTATGATCAAATTAGTTCACTTATCTAAAAACCACGTATAAATTCAACTGTACCGTTTTACGGGTAAACAATAGTGTAAAAATTTATTTAACTATCATGTCATTTAAAAAATAATTATATACTATTATCACTAATAAGTAGGATTAGGAATTAAAAAAAATAAGAAAAATAAGTTAGCTTTTTCATTACTATGTCTCTATATGGATATAAGTTAGTACTCCCTATGTTTCAAATTAGATGAGATACTTTCCTTTTTAGTCCGTTTCAAAATACTTTATTTTACCCATTTTACCCTTAATGAAAAAAGTTTTTATAACCACAAAAATGTCATGGCCCCATAAAGCTTTTACACCTTAAGCTTTTAAGACCACAAGTTTTAAAAGTTTCTTTTTTATCTTAAACTCCGTACCGAGTCAATCTACTTCATCTAAATTGAAACGGAGGGAGTAAATCATAATTAATTTATTAGGTATCCTTCCGTTGTAGAAATAGCATCAAGTAGCCGCTTTTAGATATGTTATTTAAATATAATCAATTTTTATAATATATTTAAAATTTAGCCATATGGTACAGATTTTAAACTGCTTCTTAATTCAGATCACAAGTGTAAAGTTCAAGAATAATGGTTCAAAACTTCAAAGTTTTGGATGGAAGTTTTTAAACTTTCACTTGAAGTTTTGAATTACTAGAGCTGAGAGCCTAAATTCCGCAGGAAGGTGGCACTAAAACTTCAAACCTCAGGTTTGAAGTTGATTTTGACAGTTCAATTGAAACTTTTTGAGATAGCTAAATTATAAATACTTTGTAAGTTTTGATTGTATTTTAAATAGTGTCCTAAAATCTACAAAATATGATATATTTTGGGGCAATTTTTAACTTTTAACCCCATTTGTCTCATGAACAGAACTTCTAAGATAAAAAGTTAAAAGTTTTGCACATGAAACAAACGAGGGGCAATACTTGTTAAACTTAAATTTCTGCACACGGGCAAGCGGAAACAAATTCAAGACCGTCCACAAGGGCTATTTGTGTACATCATCACTTAAAACGGCTATTTGTGCACTTTGCCCAAGTTGCCATCTGGTTCAGCCTGCACTGAATGGGCCTCAATTCAATATGCGTGTAACTTCAAGTTTTACACACAAAATTATAAAATTAGTGGCACCACACCAATTCCAATTATTAAATCTCCGCTTCACCATGACTTCACGGCTTCGGTGATCGATTGCTGCGATTTGAATAAAAAAGAAAGAAGAAAGCGAAAATTCTTCGACTCTTTGTAGAGAAGAGAAGAGAAGAGAAGATAATAATGGGAGGTAAAGGAGCAGGAGGAACTGAAGCACAGAAATACGTATGGGAAGGAGCAATTCCACTACAGATTCACCTTCACGAATCCGAAGTCACTACTCTCCCTTCTCCTCCCCCTGCTCTGGTACTCTCCTTTTCCATTTTTGCCCTATTTTATTACTACACGAAATATTCTTGTGCCTGGGTTTGGTTTTTAATGAATCAAATTTTTGAATCTGTAATTGGAATTAATAGTGTAAGTTTCTGAATGTGCCAATGCTAAGAAAATTTACTAAAGTTTTAAGCTGAATTGACAAGTGAGTGGAGAACCCCTGATGATTCATTGGGAAGGGGAGAGAGTGAGAGTTTGTCTGAATTGATCGCCGAAGATTGGTTTAGAGGTAAAAAGTGCGCCCAGCTCAGGCTGGATCATGCGTTACGCTGGTGTAAGTAGGGAACCATCGTTGAACCATTGGAAGGGGGAAAGAAAGTTTAAAGCTGAATTTACGAAATGATGGTTTGGTGATAACACGCTACCACCTCCAACCTATGTATCAAGGGTTGAAGACATGCCGGGAATCACTGTTGATCGGTTGGGAAGAAGAAAGAAAGTTTTAAGCTGAATTCACTAGTGAATTGTGGCACTGCAGAGTAATGTTGAGGGCTGATAATTTTTGTCTAATGTGAAGGGGAGCCTTAGCACAATGGTAAAAGTTTCCGCCTTGTGGGTCACGGGTTCAAACTGCGGAAACATGTAAGAGAAATGCAAGGTAAGGCTGCGTACATAAACTCAATGTGGTCCGACCCTTCCCCGGACTCAGCATATAGCGGGAGCTTAGTGCACCGGGCTGCCATTTTTGAGGTTCTGGGATTTGTGGTTTACATTAGTCTTTGGGGTAATAGCAAAACCCAGTTTTTAGGAAGCAAGTGGATTTTCTTTCTTTGCTACTCGTGATGTACATGTGTAATATGGTTATAGGAGAGGCTATAAGAATGTTAATACGAAAAATTTAACCGTTTCGAATGATTGCTTAAAGAGTCAATGCGATTCTGCGTTAAAATAGAAATATTTTCTCCTAAAGATCCCAAACAAAAATATAGCTGCTTTTTGAGAATTGAGCAAAACTTGGTTTGGATAGTATTTGCTCTCTTACTTCCAGTTGACAGAACTCGTCAAGTTTCTTCCTGGTTTAAAGAAGATCAATCCAGTGTTGTTAAAAGCGACCGCTTCCTCGCTTAAAACGAGAAGCGATGCGAAGCGAGGCATCTGGCGCTTCTCTGATCTGAAGCGTATCAGGTACACAAAAGCGATCGCTTCCCCTGAAAAAGCGAGAAGCGAGGAAGCGAACAAAGCGACATAAGCGAGCGCTTCTCTTTATAACTGGGCTGCCAATGTTAATTAATTAAAAAGGCTCTCTTTTTTTAACTTCAAGATCATCAAGTTTGGTCCCAGGTATGTGATTTCACTGTTTCAGTGACAAATTGCAGCGAAATGCAGCCCATTTTTCGTTTCAGTTATCCTGCTATTTTTTGGCATACTTAATGCCATTTTTTTCATATCATTTATTCTTAGTTGTCTATGCAATATTTATTTTATTGTCATTCTTCTTCTTCTTCTATGCAGTATTTATTTTAATATTTTTTTTAAAAATTCCGCTTCACTTCAAAAAAGCGAGCGCGTCTCTTCTCGCTTTAAGCGAAAAGGGGCTTGTCGCTTTTCCTCGCTTCACACTCTTCACAACACTGGATCAATCATTGCCTATAGAACCGGTGTGTTCAGTTGGTTTCAATCTGTTTCTTCATGAGTCGAATCTTATCATCCATGTCAAACCTAATCCTGGACAAGTGACTGTGAAATCAGTGATCCTCTGCAGCTACTTAAAATACTGCTGCCTTGTGGCTATTACAGACACATAAATGAAAGCATATTACCCCAATGCAGAAGCTTGAATGTGTGTGTTTGTGTGTATTTATATTTAATCTACACTAGCTAATTTATGTATTTGATGGTGTTTTATATTGCAGATTTTAGCTCCTCGAATAGGTTACCTGCCTCTTTTAGGAACAAAAATAAAACCTTTCTTCAGTAATTCACTTCCTCCTGGTGTAGATACCGTATGGTTTGAGTACAAAGGCTTGCCTCTCAAATGGTACGCAATACCCTCATGCCAATCAGTATATTTTAGCATAATCTAAAGTATATTCTTGTGCTCGAGACAAATTGTGGTACATAGATGACATTAATGACTTTATTCTCAACGGATGTGGATTTCCTTGTTCTATATTAAACATGTATCTGATGTTTTTCTCGTTCAAGTAGCATATGCTCCAGAAATATACTATAGTCTTTGTTTCAGTTCATCTTGTTCTTGTCTTACAGCTTTCTTGGTTCCATATCTCACCATCCATTATTTAGTTCTTGTCTTTTCTTGGTCCCGTATCATACCAGTCAGCTATCTCATTTGTTTTCACCATATGAATCAATCATGTATCACTTTCTCTTTTTTCTGTTGATATCTGTTGATGGTAGCCTTAGGACATTATCTGCATCTCGGATGGTATAGCAGTTGATGATCTTGAATTGACTTATTCATTCTGGAAGGTTTTCTTGAATAAATTTGAAGAATCTAGAGAGAGTGATATCAAGTTGGGAAACTTTTTTGTCAGCTTTTCTCATTTTCCTCATTTAAGTGTATTTATGTGTGTTTGACTGCCCTTAAATTAATTTTGTTATGCGATTAACAATTTGATCTTATGGATATTTGCATTCTTGATGCAGGTATATACCAACTGGGGTACTCTTTGATCTTCTTTGTGCAGAACCTGAACGTCCTTGGAATCTGACGGTATGTCGATGTATTTTGCTTTAAGCTATGAGGAACTATCAGCTGAAAGTAACACCATCTTTGCTGGACTTTCCAGGCGAAGGGTAGTGAAAATTGGTTTCTTAACTTGATTTTATAAGATTTAGGAAGTAAATAATAAGTGGAAGAGGAGGGATGCAACCCATGACATTATCTTTTTCAAAGCCTCATCTTCTCCACCAAATTGAGGAAGAATTAGAGTGATTGGTACCAATATATGAAGTCTATTTTAGTGTCTTAATGAACTAAATTTGCAAGCTACTACATTTTCTTTTACTTCCTTTTTTACTTTCGAGAAAACGGAGGTTGAAGCTATTTGCTCATTGGTTGAAGAAAGATAAACCCTTTTTGTCTCTTACAAAGCTAAGATTGCAAACCGTCACCTTTCTCCTCTCACATGGTTTTGTGCCAAAAATACTCTAATGTTTAGATAGTCTAAGCATGGCAAGGATGGGAATATGTATAACTACTGAATAAGAGATGCTGGGCATGAATATTCTCTCCACCATATTATATTCTCAAAGATTTCAGATCCATTTAGATCAATGACTCCTTGGATTTTATTGGTAGATCATATAAGCCCAGTAGCTCAATACAATTTGTGCGTATTATGACACTTAGATTGGTTTGAATAATAGGAGGAAAGGAAGGAGTAAGGTAAACATATAGTTCACTTTAAGTTATAGTAAACTAAATTACTTTATATACCTTTCCCTCTATACCAGTTGACCCTAAGTTTCCCTTATAGTACATTCATTTGATTATTAATTTGTTTGTTCAATTCATTAATGTGTGGTCTGTGGATTAAGGTTGTGTAGTTGTACAGGTTGCATACACTGGAAAGTGATGTGCAACTGGTCTCAGTTTTCCTTGTCATGCTTGTTGATGACATGAATCTAAAACATAAAAGTCTAAATCAAATTCAAGATGATAAATTAGGCAATATATTTCTATAGTTTGGTCATGTCCTACGTAAACCTCCAAATTATCTGGTCCATTAGTGTCATATTGGGTGGTTGAAGATGTTAATGGGGCAATGTAGATTAAAATCGTGTAGAGATTTGTTTCGCAATCTAAAGTCGCTTGAAATCAACGCGGATTTAGTTAATAATATTCATAATAAAAGCAAAGGATTCATATAGATGATACCAAATAGTGGGAATTAAGACTTAGCTGTTGTTACACATTGATTAGGTCTGATATTTGTCAGGAGTCGTTTAGTCTGGGACTCTGGTTAGAAATTTGTGTGTCAATATAGGGAAAGCATGAGACCGAGAATTCCTCTAACGTTAGAGAACCCTTATGTGCCTTAATAGACAAATTATTTGATAGTATTGGAGCAAAATGGGCCGGGTTTTACAGAATGAATGTAAGTAGGTCATATAGCCAAGCCAAGTAGTTCGAAATTGAGGTGCAGTTGCTTGATTGATTGAGTTACTCTTTAGTACTTAATAATTTTTGGAGGCAGTTAATTATTAGATTTATTATACTGTAGCTTATCCTAATATACTAGCATCAATTTAGCTAAGATAATTTTTTGTTACCATTATAAAAAAAATAAAATTAGATAAGATAATTTCTAGTAAGCATTCTAAAAAATAGGTTCTGTTTATCTTATGGTTTTAGTATATTTTGACCTGTCTAATTCAAAAATTGACATTAAAGTGGAAACCAACATATTCAACATTCTTGAAAGGTAACAACATCAAATTACAATGAATTAGATATGTGAAAGCAATATCTAGAATGTGGAACTTACATCTAGTTTTCTGTTTCATAATTAATCATTGGATTTCATTTCAAAAAGTATTAGCTTTAGGTGTTACAAATATACATATGGAACATGGAATGAAGTAGGATCCATGATATTTCATTAAATTTATCTATGAAAGAAATATCATTTGAACGATTACTTTAATGCAAGAAATGATATTTATAATTGGTTATGTGAGTGTATCAAAGCATAAGGTGGCCAAAATATCATCGGTATTGTTTTGAGTTTTGACTATAGAGGTCGAACTACCTTGCTTACTTGGAACTTAAATTTTTATATTGTTTTATCATGCATTGCTTAATAAAACAAGTTACTATATTATCATCAATGCATCTCACTTTAATGGAGACACCTTCATGCACTCTCTCTGCAGGTACATTTTAGAGGATATCCTGGAAATATTTTAACACCTTGTGAAGGCGAAGATAGTGCAAAGTGGAGTTTTATCAATTCATTAAAAGAGGTTAGGTATAGTTTCTTTTGTTTGCTTCTGCACTGTTAACTTCCTTTCTTGTATGTTACAAGTGACAATTTGGCTTGTAAAAGTATGATCCTGCCTCATTCTTTGGTGCCATACTGGTGCTGCGCCATTTTGGTGTTAGACGTATCTAATTGCTAGTGAGTCTATGAAGTTAGCTTAATTTACGTACAGTTAGTTGTATATTTTTTATCATGTTTAAGCCTTTAAGGAAGCTAAATTACGTATCAGGTTAACAATAAGTTCTTTCCAAATGCATCTTCTGGTTTATAATATGNTGGATGGTATGCATCTTAATTGCAGGGTTTATAATACGGGCTTCTTCGTTCATTTCTCACGTGGTTATTGTCATTTTCACCAGTGCCATACACATACAGTGCTAGGGGGCTGTTTCATGGAGGGTTTCATCTTTCTAGGCAATCTTATTGTATCTATGTTTAGATCACTCACTGTACTGTGTTCGATCTATCAGGTAATTTAGAAGCTTATCTCCGAATCTCGTCTAAGCTTAAACTTGGCCTAGTGGTGGATGATTTTTCAATACAACTTAGCTCTTCCTCTCCTAAATCACTGGAAAGCACTCAAAATGCAGATGGAACAGGACCAGCTAAAATAGGTGAGTTACACGTGTATGTAGCCAGTCTAGCCTACAGAATATGTTAACACTGTGGAAGTTCAGTTGGCACACACACAAAATCTCTCTCGTTCCCCTTCCTTTGAATAAGTTAGTCAAAAACTTCTGTTCTAATTTCTTTTGATTGGATGTAATTGGAGGTAGCTAAGTTGAACTGCTGAGTAATAAATGTTGCTCCATAGCTTGGCAATGATGAAGTTCTAATTTGAGGGCTCTAGCTAGTGGGAGAGATTAACTTAGCACCAGGACATGTTAGAGGAGCTTGCCCCCCAGTGCATAGTGGAGGGAGGTCGCTTTATTCGTGTTTCAAAATTTCATTTTCCCTTCATGATAAGAGTTCAGCTGTTTAAATCGCTTCACATGTCAAGGCACTTTCAAATCTTAGTTACCTACTTATCAAAAAATCTTAGTTCATGACTTGGTCTTTTTGTCCAAGATAAAACAATGTAATTGTTAGTTTAATACCAACTGTTGTGGCTTGTAATTTAATCATCCTTTTCCATAATTTTCTTATCAATTAGGTGAACTGTGCCAAAGAAATTATTTGTTTCAATTTCTGGTTAAAGTGGTGAAATGTGATTATTTGTCCATGACATGTTTTCTTTGTGCGGCACTGGTGAGCTCGCTGAAGCAACTTGCGTGTGCTGTTGTGGGTAGGAGATTGAGCCCTTTATAGGCTTAATTAACTTGTTTTTTATGAGGAAGTTTCATTAGGAGGCATCAAGTCACTAATTCTTGCTCTGCTTTTTTATTGGAGTGGGCTTCAGTAGTTTATTGGTAAAGATGGAAGGACTGGTCAACAGCCAGGAAGGGAAGTCTACCCTAGGATTTCCTTCTCAAACACTGAGGAAATCGGTTGTCAAGTCTTCCTTGGGAAGCTATCTTATAGACCAAAACCCACCATTGTCCTTTTAACTATAATTTAAGAGCAAGAAGGAAAATGATTCTCTACCTATAACAAAAGAAAAGGAAAAAAGAACAAGGAAGATCTACCTAATTTTGTCTCATAAAGGGAATGTGGTCAAATAAACCTTTGTTTGGGAATCTTCCATTTTGCAGAAATTGTTCACTAGATGTTGCCTTTCCTGATCAACTTTTGGTTTTTATTCTTATTTCAAGAATTCTAGTATTCATCACATTGGGGGTCAAGTAAGATCAGACTGACGAGGTTCAATGAACATCTTTTTTGATTAAGACTTTTGTTAATGGGCATCCAGAGGATACAATATACAAGTTACAAAGTGAACATAATATGCATGAAGAAAGTGGTCCTGAAATGGGAATGAACTATGATGGTTCTTCATTCTCTTTTCTGTGATACGTGATACACATTATAATGAAAGTGGAAAAAACTTGGCCCTGAAGGGTAATAAGCAGGTTTTGAATAAGTATGGACCTTTATTTTATGTGCACGTCAATAGGTTTCGCATGGGTGTATGGTACTCCTTATGGATTGTTCATATACCCCAAGTCCATTTGACACTGATGAGTTAAAACCTGCAAGTTATCTGAATTAGGATACTATGTTTAGATGATAGATACACACATCTTGAGTAAAATCGTGGCCAAACTGATCAGATGTGGATGGAGCTAATTGATTTCTCTCTTCTGCCTTCCTTTACAACAGGTAACGGACTGGTAATATCTTTTAAAGTCTATCACATTTACCCCATGACCTGGCAAATGAATGGATTCTGAATTTATTCTAGAAGTAGAATACATTGAAACGTGTAGTAATTCCTAATACTCTGTGTTGGTTTTTTAAAAGATGGGGCAACAAAAAGATTAAAAGTATTGATTGAAAAAGTCTCTCAATAATTTTGTTAAGCATAACAAGGCTTTAAATAGCCAATTTAAAAACAGAATCTGCAGAAAATCAGGAGAATAAATATTCAAATTCAAAAACCTAAACTATCTCAACTAACTTATCCTATTAAATTTAAATTTAAACAAAGACTCCTCCTTCGACTAAACTACTTATTATTCTGGTAAATCAAATATCAGCAGTAACAAATGCAAAATCCAACACTCCTCCTTGCTTTTGTTGCTGCAATAGGTTGATCCTCAATTTCTGCTTTGGCAATTTGTGCTTGTGCATTCTCTCAAGTGTTTTTGAACTTGCATCCATCTGCAATGACTTGTTCTTTCTTTTTTTTTTCTTTTTGGTTTTGCGCATAAAAAACACCCTTAGTGACCTTGTCTTATCTGAAATCTCTTTTGAAAGTATTTGATTCTGGACAATGATAGGATTTTCAGGGATTGCTCGTAAGGATTGTTCTTCCATTACAACATTCAATAAATCATAGGTTTTAAGATATGATTTTATTTTCACTGAGCAAATACGATAGTTTTCGCCAGTGAAGGTTTGTGGGGCATTCAAAGAGAGACTGCTGCTTGCCATGTTTGAAAATGAGTTTAAAAATTGATATTGGTTAAAAATGATTTGAAAATAGTTCTTTGGAAGAACTCACAGATCCCGTAAGACCAATGAAGCTCTGATACTACTGTTGCTTTTTTAAAAGATGGGGCAGCAAAAAGATTAAAAGTATTGATTGAAAAAGTCTCTCAATAATTTTGTTAAGCATAACAAGGCTTTAAATAGCCAATTTAAAAACAGAATCTGCAGAAAATCAGGAGAATAAATATTCAAATTCAAAAACCTAAACTATCTCAACTAACTTATCCTATTAAATTTAAATTTAAACAAAGACTCCTCCTTCGACTAAACTACTTATTATTCTGGTAAATCAAATATCAGCAGTAACAAATGCAAAATCCAACACTCCTCCTTGCTTTTGTTGCTGCAATAGGTTGATCCTCAATTTCTGCTTTGGCAATTTGTGCTTGTGCATTCTCTCAAGTGTTTTTGAACTTGCATCCATCTGCAATGACTTGTTCTTTCTTTTTTTTTTCTTTTTGGTTTTGCGCATAAAAAACACCCTTAGTGACCTTGTCTTATCTGAAATCTCTTTTGAAAGTATTTGATTCTGGACAATGATAGGATTTTCAGGGATTGCTCGTAAGGATTGTTCTTCCATTACAACATTCAATAAATCATAGGTTTTAAGATATGATTTTATTTTCACTGAGCAAATACGATAGTTTTCGCCAGTGAAGGTTTGTGGGGCATTCAAAGAGAGACTGCTGCTTGCCATGTTTGAAAATGAGTTTAAAAATTGATATTGGTTAAAAATGATTTGAAAATAGTTCTTTGGAAGAACTCACAGATCCCGTAAGACCAATGAAGCTCTGATACTACTGTTGCTTTTTTAAAAGATGGGGCAGCAAAAAGATTAAAAGTATTGATTGAAAAAGTCTCTCAATAATTTTGTTAAGCATAACAAGGCTTTAAATAGCCAATTTAAAAACAGAATCTGCAGAAAATCAGGAGAATAAATATTCAAATTCAAAAATTTAAACTATCTCAACTAACTTATCCTATTAAATTTAAATTTAAACAAAGACTCCTCATTCGACTAAACTACTTATTATTCTGGTAAATCAAATATCAGTAACAAATGCAAAATCCAACACTCTGCTTTTAGACAAAGAAAAATTCATATAATCGTGTTTTAGCAGGTGATACTTTTTGCAAAGCTTTCAAAATGTGATTTCTGTTCTGTGTTCTGGAAACACAATTTACTTCCCTCAATCTTGACATGCCTACCATATGTACAAGATGTTATGTTCAATGCTCTTCATCTTGACATCCCCACACTATGCATCAGTATGTCAGTAATAATCTCCTTTTCTGTTGGGTGTGGGGGTTGGGGGGTGGGGGGAGGGAGTTCTAATTCATGCATACTTGCTGCTTTTCTTTTTGGGAGATGAACTAACAGATATGCTCCTTCTTAAACTTTTAAACTTGTTACTTCCATACAAATTATCTTCTGTTTTGTTGTATTCAGGTAGAATACCGGTTCGACTGTATGTTAGGACTATCAATGAGGATTTTGATGACTTGCAAGATGCACCTGCGGTTGAAAGTTGGGACAAAATCTCTTACATAAACAGACCTGTTGAGATTCATGGAGATGGTAAGAAATTTGGCTATAATTGTTTTTAGTTTCATTTTGTATTTGTGCACGCACACTAACTCAAACGTACGTTAACTTCATGAACATCAAAACCATACTGAGAAGATTGGTAATTAAATTCTGCATTGCAGGGTTAACTTTAGTGTTCCTTTTCCTATGAGGTGAAAGGTTGACAGGTAGGAGGCTAGCAGTTTGCTTAAATATACCATGGATGATGTGATTAATCTACATCTTTTGCTCTCTTCTCGCACAAATTTAATTTTAGGTGGACTTTAGACAAGCTTAGGATGTGGATGGATTGTGAGCAATAAGACTTCACAGAGTTAAAGTGTTTGGTGCTTTTGTGAAGTCCCTTGGATAAAGAACTTGAGACAAAGAATCCGTTGGAATGAAGACTACCAATGTCATTTGCGAAGAACTGTCCCATGGGTTCTTGTGTTAATGTTCAGCAAGCTGTACTAATAAAGTTTGTGTAGATTAAACAGTTGAGATTATGTTGAGTCGAAGGTAGTTATTAATGGCTTTTGCACAATTTGATGGGGCAAACAAGAGCCAAAAGCATAGGGGAGATACCTCTTTCAGCATTTACACTCTTAAAATTGTTGTGATTATTAATGTTTTGCTCCCTTTCCTTGATGGGTTTGATTGCAGGAGGCAAATGCTTCACCTTGTGTGATGCAATAACGAAGCTTCTGCGCGAGCTTTTTGGGGAAAAACTTCTGCCAAAAGATGACGTTTCTGGAGAAGAAGTTGAGGTTGGACAGAGATTATCTCTTGAAGAAACAAAAAAGAGCAGCATGGAACAAAGTGGAGAGATGTTGAATGAGCGCATTGTCTCCTGCTCTGTGTCAGATGGTGCTGTGATTAAGCTCATACGCATTCAGGGAATTGAACCAAAGATGGAGATTCCTTTTGCATGGGTGGTAAACAATTTGATGAACCCTGAATACTTTCTTCATATCTGTGTATATGTCAAAATTCAAGAACCCATCACCATATAGCCAATTGTTCATAGGATTAGCAATTCTGGAGATTTGGAAATTCTTTAGTTCTGATAGTGCATATATCTCATTCACTGTAAATAAGCGCATAGGATATCTTGAATGTGTTTTTACCTCTAGCTTTGTCAATGCTATTGGCAAATTGGTCGAAACATCTACATATCAAACTCATGAAGGTAGCAAAGGTCCGAAGCTTAGGCATATTGACAACGCAAAAAAATAGAAGCAGTTCTTAGCTTTGTACAAAAAACCTATTGCCATATCAAAAACAGATTCTAAGATATATTTTTTGTGCTGAGTATCTTAGAAGGTGGAGAAACACCGTTGGCGTGTAAAAGTAAGATCTTTTCTCCTATATTTTTAGTTCATAAATGATCTTCACTGGGTTCTTCACATATTTAGCAAAAAACATTCCTTGAACTTGTGACACTGCGATCCAAGCTGTGGTAGTCTTGTGACCACTGAATTGTCCCTTTGGGAACGCTTAATCGCTATTGAAAATTGTTTTTTAAAAGAAGTGTGTTAATTGCTTTTTGTGTTTTCGAGCTAAAGTTCTAGCCACCTTTGAGCAAGGAATCCGTAGTTGAATGATTTACGGTCAATATCAATCAGAACTTACAAGTCATCTTTCTAAAGGTCGAAGAAATTCCCAGGTTTTGATAAATATTATTAGTCTACTTTTGTCCTTTTTAATTACATACACCCTAGTTCTCTACACTGGGAATGTAGCCAGAACGTGCTTCTTAACATCCCATGTATTCCCACTTTGCCGTCAATTTTCTTTTACAAACTTAAGCATAACTCTTCTTTTACATGACGAATTTACGCTAATGGATTTCCCTTCTTCCCTAAATGTTATCCTCAGTGCTTAAGAGAGATGCCAAATGAATAATTGGAGTCGGGTTGCAAGAGATTGAATAGAAGGGAACCTTGAAGTAACGGTAAAGTTGTTTTCGTGTAACTTATAGGTTACGGGTTCGAGCCGTGGAAGCAACCAGTAATGCTTGCATTAGGGTAGGCTGTCTATAGGGTAGGCTGTCTATATCACACTCCTTACTGTGCGACCTTTATCCGGATCCTACGTGCATGCAGAATGCTTTGTGCATCGAGTTGTAAGAGATTGAATTTTTATGTTTTTTTTGACATGTTCCGGAAGTACTACAGTCTACCAATAAACAAATCAACGCATGTTTAATCTTTTGAAAATCTCCAAATAACATCAAGTTTCATAAATTTTCAGAAGGAAAGAAAGAAATATCTCATACATCCTACTGCTTGATTTTGGTCACCGGCCATTGGCTTTTGTTTATAAGATAAGTAAACGGGAAGTTTATGCAGGATTTATATCTTTTGTCCATTTGACTATAACAAAGAATTTTTATAATTGAAAAAAAATGCTTCAATTGGTTAATTGGCTTGCATATATTACTTATATGTCAATGTACCACAAATTTAAAAGTGGATAGCAAACAAGAGCAGAAAATTACAGTTGAGATGTTCAGGCGAAAGTTACAGACTTACAGAGCTTAAATAACAAACCACAATTGGTGCAAAATGTGGTTAGTTGTAAAATGAAAGCTAAATATAATTTAATATTGAACAAGAAAATAGACAAAAAATTATAGGGGAGGATGTAGAGATCTATCTTTCATTCAAGTGTGTATTTTTTGTGTCATTGTAGAACTAGAAACGCCCGTATATATATGGCCCAATTACATTAAAAGATACAAGATATTAATAGGATGTAATAAATACATTCATGTATATTGGAAAAGGTACATAGAAGAGTTACCGGATATACAGAAAGTTCAATGAATTCATAATACTCCTCCTCCTTGGATATCCATTTAAAGATAATGTCTCGTTAAAGTCTTACTAGGAAAAATTCAATAGAAAAAAGCCTAGTGAAGGAAAAGAGTACATATATCTTCTAATACGCAGTGAGAGCTGCCTCATTAAATACCTTAAAAGAAAAAATAAATGAGACAAAACCCTGGTTAAGAAAAAAAGATTACAACTCATATTTTTCTCTCCCGATAAAAACTTCACTTGATATCTCGGAGACGATACATTCCAATCTTGTATCTCAGCTTCTCAAATATTAACGTTGGCAATGCCTTGGTGAATAGATCTACCAAATTATCACTTGAACAAAAATGTTAGACATTTATCTCACCATTTCGTTGAAGATCACGCGTGAAAAAAGAACTTTGATAAAATATGCTTTGTTATGCCTCCTTTGATGCATCCTCCTTTTAGTTGAGATATGCAAGTATCATTATCTTCATATAATATTATTTGAATCTTTTCACACAGTTGTTGAATATATTGAGTCATTGATCTCAACCATACACATTCCGGCTTCTTTCATGAACGGTTGTTATCTCTTTATATGGGTGAGAAAAGTATCCTTCTTTAGGGATTCATCTTTGTGTATTATGGTGGAGAAATTAAAACATATCTGCACATCCAAATATTTCTAGATGAGAAACATTTGATTCCTGACCCGAAATTTTGAGTTTTATCCCCATACGCAATGACTTTGCTATTAATATAGACATTTAATTTATGCTAAACCAACTTGAATATAGACCAACATTATCAACATAATTTTTGATTGTATAATCTGCTGTACAGGGATCTTGACCTCAATTTAACTAGTCTCTAATAACTAATTTACTTTGAGAACAAGCAACACAAAAGAAATCCTTATATTGAAGAATCTTTTGGTTCTTCAACATATACCCATGTGAATTTTTAATTACATTTGACATCATATTAGATCCGGATTTGATGACCCAGCTGGTCGTCTTATGTATTATAGCCAAGTTTCCCTATTTATTGCTTATTCTATGTTCACTTATGGTTACGTGACTTGCCGGGGTGGTTGGTTTGGTTCCGGGGATATTTTAGAGTGAATTGGGATACTTAGTCCTAAGGTTGAGAGCTTAAGTTAGAAAGAGTTGACCGGATGTTGACTTATGCGTAGACGACTCCGAAATAGAGTTTTGATGGTTCCGATAGCTTCATATGGTAATTTTGGACTTAGGCGTATGTCCGAAAATGGATTTGGAGGGCCGTAGGCTGATTTGGTGTATTTTGGCGAAAGTTGAAAAGTTGAAGATTTGGAAGGTTGAGAAGTTTGACCGAGAGTTGACTTTGTAGATATCGGGTTCGAATTTTGGTTCCGAAAGTTGAAATAGGTCTGTTGTGTCATTTATGACTTGTGTGCAAAATTTGAGGTTAATCGGAGTTGGTTTGATATAGTTCGACATTGGTTTTAGAAGTTGGAAGTGCATTAGTTCAATAGGCTTGAATCGATGTGCGATTCGTAGTTTTGGTTTTGTTTGATGTGATTTGAGGCTTTGGGCGAGTTCGTATTATGTTTTAGGAATTGTTGGTATTGGTGGATAGGGTCCCGGGGCCTCGAGTGTGTTTTGGATTGAATTCAGATTGGTTTTGGTCTTGGAGTATTGGCTGAAGTTTAAGGCATCTGATGCGTTCGCACTTGCGGTGGGAATGGCTGCAGATGTAGCACCACAAGTGCGGTGAAATGGCTGCAAATGCAAAGAGGAGTGAAGTCTGGGAGGACCGCAGATGCGAGGGTGTTTCTATAGAAGCGAAAGCACTTCTGCGATGAGAGGTCCGCAGGTGCGGAGTTGGATGGGCTTGGCCTTGGCCGCAGATGCAATGCATGGTCCGCAGGTGCGGATGCATAGGAGCGGGAGAGTGTCCGCAGAAGAGATCTTGCAGGTGTGGAGCTTTTACCACAGGTGTGTGGGGTCGGGAAGTTAATGAAATAGCGCACTTGCGATGGTTGAGCCCGCAGGTGCGACGTCGTAGGTCCGACTCTGAGGGCCGCTGAAGCGAGATCGCTGGGCAGTGTTTAAAATCGAAAGGTTTAGTTGTTTTTCTCATTTTTAGGGTTTTGAAGTTCGGACTAGAGCGATTTTTGGAGAGGTTTCCACCTATATTGAAGAGGTAAGTGACTTTTAATTACTTTTGTCCATGAATATTGAGTACCATTGATTATTACACCTAATATTCATGAATCTAAGTTAGAATTTGGGGATTTATGGACTATGTTATTGGAGAGTGAAATTTGAGGATTTGAGGGGCGATTTATGGTTGGAATTGGATGATTTTGGTATGGTTGGATTTGTAATTAAATGTGTATTTAGAATTTTTGAATTTTGTCGGGTTTCAAGGTGAAAGTCCGGGGTTGAATTTTTGACTTGAGTTAATGATCTTAGCTTTATCTTTTGGAGTCACTTCTTATAGCTTTTATTGATAGTATTACGTTATTTTGGCTAGAATCGAACCTTCTGGAGGTTGATACGCGCGGGAAGGGCTTGTTAGCGAAGTGATTTGGTTTGCTTGAGGTAAGTATCTTATCTAAATTTGGTTGAGGCACTAGTTGCCTGAATTATTTGTGATAGCTACGTGCTATGGGTGCGCACAGGTGTGATTTTTGAAATCATGTGCTAACACCGTGGTATTTATCCATGCTCGGGTTGTGCTTAGGCTATGATATGTGTAGAATTGACTGTTAAGCTTTAAGCTATGATGTTTCTCATATCTGTAACATTGTTGGGACTATTTGAGACATGCGTGAGGCTACATAGAGGTGTAATCCCTGAATGAACTTGATAAATGCTATTTTTATGATAAAATTATCGATTTGAGATATGATAGCACACTTTGCACATGCCTACATTTTAGCATGTCATTTATACCAGTCCAGGAGCATAAGATCTGTTATTCATTCATCACATACATGTATTCTTATTTATTTGCTCCCGTGTGATATGATTTGACTGGATGCCTGTGACCATGCCAGGCGGATTGTGTTGTTATGCCTGTGACCATGAAAGGTGTGATGAGGTTCGGAAAGAAGGGTAAGTTGAGACCTCGGTATATTAGTCCTTTTGAGGTGATTGAGAGGACTGGAGAGGTGGCCTACAAGCTTGCATTACCACATAGTCTCTCAGGTGTTCACCCAATGTTTCATGTTTCTATGCACCAGAAGTATTATGGTGATCCGTCACATATTTTGGATTTCAGCATAGTTCAGTTAGATGGAGATTTGACTTATGATTTGGAGCCGATGTCCATCTTGGATCGGCAGGTTCAAAAGTTGAGATCAAAGAATATAGCTTTAGTGAAGGTTCAGTGGAGAGGCCAGCCAGTCGAGGAGGCTACTTGGGAGACTGAGCGAGAGATGCGGAGCAATTATCCTCACCTATTTGAGACTCTAGGTATGATTCTTGACCCGTTCGAG